GAGCGAAGTTGGGCTTTTGTAGTCGAGGCAGACGAAGTTCCGTCTAGTCGATGTTTTGTGGTTGTGTGCCTAGAACGGCATTCATAGGTCTGGAGTCTACATAACTCGAGACAGTCCCTGTGAATGCCGTAGAGTGCCTGTCGGTATATATATATGCGTTCGGACGTGCCTTGGCGAGGTCTCCTCTGCAAGCAAGTGTCTGTTTGGGTGTCCACGTCTGTGGCTCCCTACTATTAATTGCTTGGAGAGTATTGTGTTGTGCCCCTTTATGGACAGCATTTTCGCCTCATCATGCATGTGGTGTTCTGGCTACAGTGCAGTGTTTTGTGTCACCTGCAGGCTGCAGCTTCATTCACTGCATCCTACTAGTCCCCGGCGACCGCACTGGTGCTGCGTAATTTAAAACAGGCCGGCCAATTGCCTTGTATGTTGCCAGCAACCTTGTAGCGGCTCTATACTTTGTTCACAATTTCGGTTGCGTGCGCAAAGAAGGAGAGCAGATTGTCGAAGGTTAATCCGAGTATTTTGGGGTTGTTCACCTTTGGAATTGGTATGTCATCGACGTGAATGCTCAGCAGTGGTCTGACCTCCTTCATTCAAGTGGTGAACAAGGTCGAAGAGTATTTTGTAGGGGATAGGGTTAGGCTCCTAGCAATGAAAAAGCGAGAAAGCTCGGAGAGATACCCGTTTACTTTCGAGTACAAGTCATCAATTCCATTCCCAGAAGCCATTATCAAACAATCCTCTGCGTAAGAGACAATCGAGACTGTCTATGGTGGTGAGGGAGCTTGGAAATATAATAGTTAAATAGTAATGACGAAAGGACACTACCCAAACCAAAGGAACCCCTTGTTTTATTTTACTAGGTTTACTTGATTTGTCTCTCAACATTACTGGCGCGTGTCGACCACTCAGATAATTCGCCGACCACCGTTTGAGCCTCTGTGGGAGAGAGGAAGACTCGATGTCTTCTAGCAGCGTGTAGTGGCAGACGGTATCAAAGGCCTTTGACAGGTCCAACGCTCTTAGAATTGTTCTCTCATATGGTGTTAAGTGCTGTTGTTGTGCTGTGCACTTTACGGAAACCATGCCGATGCTTCGCTGGGGCCAGGTGTTTCGTAAAATACAAGAGTAGCAAGGCGTCTAGTGTCTTCGCTACCGGGGAAACGAGAGTTATAGGACGATAAGCCGGTTTCCCCGGTTTTAGCAGTGGGACCACTCTCCCCATCTTCCAGAGGACTGGAATGACAGCGTGGCCATTGGCAGGTTGAGAACCTTGGCTTAATAGTCTATTCCCGCAGGACCCAAATTTTCAACATTCATATTCCTCCGGGACCCATGGATTTGGGGGCTATCGCCTTCCCGATGGCTACCTGAACTTCACCTCAACTGAAAACAAGAGGCGCACTGGTTGTTGGCAATTTGTGCAGCCTTCTGGTCACTGGACGCTTGGCTTTGTCCGGAGGATGCAGTATAAATTGGCGGCTAAAATAGCTCGTCCATCGTGTCCGACGAAGCATGGTCGCACTTCGTCAGATTGGACAGTGACCTCTCGGTTGACCAAAGCTTACTCACACCAGAGGCGAGGTTACAGGTCTTCAGATGCCCTTCCCAATTCTTTCGCTTATGTACGTTCAGAAGTTGCCCAATCCCGAATTAAGATCCCTAATACGGGGATTTCCGAGATCGGCCTGATGAAGGTTGTCACGCTTATCGGCTAGAATAGCCACTTCAGCAAGGAAGTTTGGACGGGGGTCCGTTATGCATCCTGCTGGTACGAAGCGAGCTGCAGCAGCAGTGGCAACCCTGCGGAACTTACGTTCACCTAGGTGGACGTCAGTTGGTGTGGGGAGCGCAGCGAAGGTGCTTTCAGTAAATTCCGCGAAGCTTTTCCAGTCAGTTGACATAGGTCCGGTGATCCGCGGAAGCAAAGTCGCCGGGTTTATCAATCGAGACTACTATGGGCAGTTAGTCTGATGCTAGGGACAGCATAGGTCGCCATGATACGCTGTTTATCAGACCAGCGCCGACATTTGTTAGATCTGGCGAGCGACAGCAGCTGCCCATAATCCTGGTGGGTGCATCGTCATTCATTGTGCAGAATGTCGAATCGTCTATCTGCTCAGCCAGATGTATTCCCCTACGATCATTTGACAGGCTTGAGTGCCAAAGATCGTGGTGCGCGTTAAAGACGTCAATTACCATACGGTTTTCACCTCTGAGTAGCGCATCTATTTCATGGTGATATCCTGCCGGGCAGCTGGTGACAGGGGGTATATATACGTTAAATATTTCGAGCTCAACATCACCTGACCGGATAGCAATACCCTTACATTCTAGGATGATATCCCTGTGGTCGATGTCTGCTTCGTGCCACGGTGCGGTGCGTGATGAACGCTAAGCCTCCACCATTGTCTCGCTCTTGGATCGCAGCTATTTATATTCCATGCCTTCCCGTGAAGATAGTTATCTCCTCGATCTTGCTCTGAAGTCCGTTACAGTTGAATTGTAGCATATTTGTGTGCCTTGGCAGACCAGTTGTGATGTGTGGAGTTAAGGAGTTGCGTTGCCTGCCGGCTCCCTGCTGTATGTGCTGCAAAAGCGGGTGCTGGCTTTTGGTGGGGGTTGGTGGCGTCGCAGGGGAGGTATGCGACTGGGCAGTATAGCAGGGGCTCACATAGTCATTCGTCCAATCACGCTTGTTGCGAAGTTCTGAGCATGCCCTTAAGTGGCACCAGCCAAGGCAGGAGTTTCACTTGACTGATGTCACGTTACGGTATATTCTGGACTGACAAACCGAGCAGATTGTCGGAGGGACTAGGAGTTGCCGGCGGCGGTGTGTGGGTGCTATTGCAGGTACGGAGATGACTCCACCCGTCACAGGCATTACACCTGACGGAGGTAGAGTTTGTATGCAGTCGTCTCTGGCATACGCAGCAGGTGTAAATTTCTGGCCCTTGGTTGGACTCTATGCCAGCCCTAAACAGAAGGGTACGGAGCAGATGTAGCCCTAGTATCGAACAACGTTTGATGGATTTCGCCGAAACGGGGCTAGACCGCCGAAACAACAGCTCTTGGTCGGGTAAAACTCGAGTCATTCCGGTGCGTAGACCGGCTGTCGTGTGAATGAAATTGTTGTTTCATTTGCTTGTTTGTTTACATTTTGGGATGAACAGCTGATTTTGGTGGGATTTGGTGTGATTGACTAAACAACCTACCAATCTTGGTTGTTTGGTACAAACACAGGGTTGCATACCTTATATTTAAATAGCCAATTGGCCATTTAAATACAGATTAAATGTATGATCTGAAAATAAATAATGGAAGTTAATCNAACGTGGTCCATTGTCAATGCGTACGTAGGCCCGAGCAAGTACGGAGATGACTCCACCCGTCACAGGCATTACACCTGACCGAGGTAGAGTTTGTATGCAGTCGTCTCTGGCATACGCAGCAGGTGTAAATTTCTGGCCCTTGGTTGGACTCTATGCCAGCCCTAAACAGAAGGGTACGGAGCAGATGTAGCCCTAGTATCGAACAACGTTTGATGGATTTCGCCGAAACGGGGCTAGACCGCCGAAACAACAGCTCTTGGTCGGGTAAANGAAACGGGGTTAGACCGCCGAAACAACAGCTCTTGGTCGGGTAAAACTCGAGTCATTCCGGTGCGTAAAACCGGCTGTCGTGTGAATGAAATTGTTGTTTTATTTGCTTGATTGTTTACATTTTGGGATAAACAGCTGATTTTGGTGGGATTTGATGTGATTGATTAAACAACCTACCAATCAATCTTGGTTGTTTGGTACAAACACAGGGTTGCATACCTTATATTTAAATAGCCAATTGGCCATTTAAATACAGATTAAATGTATGATCTGAAAATAAATAATGGAAGTTAATCAACAAACTAGGCCACCTGAAATTGTCCGTAGAAATACCTTCGGAGGGGCTGTAAACTGTGCCACTACCAAATTTTTAACACATCGATATTTTCTGGTAATCGCGAGATTTAGGTTTGCAATCCGTATTGTTTGATTGATGGATCGCAGACGAATGATACATGTTTAACATTTATCGTGTCAGTATTTGCATAATTTTTGTGCCGCACACTTAATATGACGCAAGAAAACATTTTTATCTGGTACGAATAATTTCTAGATAATGCATTCTATAATACTTTTAAAATTGTCAATGTTATTTTAAATACTTTCACTTCGTTTTCAAAGTTTTTAAGCGCTGAGAGCTCAGGAAGAACATGTACGTTTTTGGTGTTCGCATTAGGAGAGTACAAGATGTACTGACGAAATGTGTGGATCACGCTTTGGAAATCCTATTGCGATCCGCAATCCAAACGTTCAATCAATATTGCACGCTACATTGTCAATAAATATCGCGTCANTCTCTATTTTAGTAGGCCACCTAAAATTTTGCCTTAGAAATATCTTCGGAGGGGCCGTAAACTATGCCCCTACCAAATTTTTAACACATCGATATTTTCTGGTAATCGCGATATTTAGGTTTGCAATCCGTATTGTTTGATTGATGGATCGCGGACGAATGATACATGGTTAACTTATATCGTGTCAGTATTTGCATAATTTTTGTGCCTCACACTTAATATGGCGCAAGAAAACATTTTTATCTTGTACGAATAATTTCTAGATAATGCATTCTATAATACTTTTTAAATTGTCAATGTTATTTTAAATACTTTCACTTCGTTTTCAAAGTTTTTAAGAGCTGAGAGCTCAGGAACAACACATACGTTTTGGGTGTTCGCATTAGGAGAGTACAAGATGTACTGACGAAATGTGTGGATCACGCTTTGGAAATGCTATTGCGATCCGCAATCCAAACGTTCAATCAATATTGCACGCTACATTGTCAATAAATATCGCGTCACTTAGATCACGTTGATAAATACTGACCGTGTGAAGGGCCCTTACACATTAGTTGTCAAAGTTGTCGCCTACATTTAGTACTAAAAAAATATCGATACTCTGTACTCGGTACTGGTATCGTTCCTTCATTAGGTATTTGTGTTTTCTGGAATATGGCGTTAAGGTCGGATTTCGAGGTGAGTTCGCGTTTTAATTATAAAATTTACTTATTAATTAAACATACGACAAAAGTAAGTGATTTCAATTGTTAACATGTCTGTAAGCCAGTGATCTGTGTTTTAAAAGCTTCACAAATGTTTGAAACAAACGCAAAAACTTGTGTGTAAACAACCGGCCTAGAAGTGATTAACTTGCCTGCCATAGAAACTGAGTCACAATAAAATAGATTATTTGCAAGAGAACCGAGATATTAATGTGGCTGCATTAATGTTGTATGCAATTTATAAATTGTGCTATGGTAATCAAAAATTATCAGCTAAATATATTATGAAGCGTTTCCGATTCGGTCTATTTGATGCATGTATTGTTTGTGGCGTTTGTGTGTGGTTTCGAGTAAGCAGGTTGCTGATCTGGCCATAATTGTTGTGCTGTCTGTGCCGCTGAGCATAGATTTGCGGCGACGCCCTTATGTGTTGCTTAGATAAAACTTACGTAGTTAATTTAATTAACCAACAGAGCGGCTCTAATATGGATGCTACACCCGATCACTGTCGTGAGCCTCGAAACCACTGATAGATAGCAACTTAATTTGGTTTGTATGTATTCTGGATTAGTAATGAAAAGTGGCAAAGCAGTGAAGCAACACTCGAATATTTGACAAAGGTGTTCTCCGGGAATGATTGTCGAAATGAACGATTGATTTAGGCTTGGGTGTGCATTAGTGGGAGGAGCTATTCAAGCCGAATTTCAATCGATTGTTGTATAAAGTTTTTGAACATTGAGAGTGTAGCTCTGCATTCCTATGATTATGCAAAGTTGTCATTCGACGAAGTCAATTTAGCACATAGTTGCACTTCTTTCTTGCATCAAGAATGCTGGAAATTTTCCTATTTAACACCGTTTTGCAATCGATGCACATAAGGACAAAGTGACTAAATACGACGACAAAAATAGAAAAACAAAAATCTTCAAATCTGATCTGATCGCACATACCTTTCTAGTACCAAGGCATATTTAAGGTGTTCATACACGATATGTATTTGCATCTGTACATGCAACTTTTTACATATGGAAATGCCAACATATCTTGTAAAGGCAAATTAGATTTGTTTCTGTATAAAGCAGATGCACGTACATACGAAATTGTTTCTATTTTCATCTGACACACAGAAAGGATCATCTGAGTGTAGTTTATTTCGTTTTCATATAACGTATTTTTAAATAGTTAAATAAAGACTGTGAATCTGACAGACATACGCAATTACATATGTATTGAAAAAGTCACATTTACAGATGCAAATACATGTCGTGTAAGAACAAGATGCAAAAAAGAAGGTGATGTATGTATTGACAGCTCGCCTCGCTACTGCCTTAGCTCAACCAACCAACATTAAAAAAATGATTGGATTTGTTTGAAACTCTTAACCGCCATTTTGAATTTTGAAAGTCTGACATCAGATTCGTAATCAGCAACCCCAGAAACCCACTGGAAACGTGTTTTAACCCTTGACAATGTTTAAAACGTTCGATATCAACGGTTTACTTTTAGTACTTTTTTTTAATTCGATCGCTATATTGGATCGGCCGTTTTGAATTTATAAAAATTGACTTCAGATTCGTAATCGGCGACCACGAAAACTCTGGAGTACCGGGTTTCGAATAAATCCAATAATTAAAAAAAAAAAAATAGACCGCCATTTTGGATCCGCCATTTTGAATTTCGAAAAACTAGATCCCTAATTAGCAACCCCAGAAACCCCCTGGTAACAAGCTCCAACACATGACAATGTATAAATCGTTCAGTATCAACGTTTTAATTTTACTAGTCTCTTTTCGAGAGCATATTTTCGGGCACTAGACCCATTCTAACTGCCCAAGACAGGTATGTAATCAAGGGAATGTTCCCCAATAATACCAGAGTAATTATATGTAAATAATTATAGGTTAAAAACTAAAACCTCGCTATTATAATTTCCATTCGTACTGTCATCAGGTATGTAACTTGAGAATAGAAATCGCTGCATCTTTTAGGCGCATCAATATTACATAGTTACGTCCCGAGCTAATAAAAGGGAGGTAAAAACAAATTTTTAGCTGAATTTTAACATGTCAAGAAAATAAAAAAATTGAGAACGTCAGCGTTTTTATAAAAAACCGACCAGCGCGACCTCTAAGAAACTTTTTTTCCAAATAAAAAAATACGTGTCTCTTTATTTTTATCACAAATAACAATAATTTGCGGTAGCGTTTATGAATTTCCAAAAAAAAATTTTTTCTGAACCACTCTCGTTCTCGGAAACGGCTCCAACGATTTTGCTGAAATTTTGTACACAGATAATATTTTGAATTTTTAGGTTATCTGAATAGGCAATATCTCCGAGAAGACTCGTATAAGGTTTTCACCTTTTCGGAATTAGTTACAAATTAATTAGAACATCATAATATGGGTACCAAATGGAAGGTATTTTAAAGATCCCTAATTCAAAAATATTTTTAATAGGGTTGCCACCTATTTTTAATCGCATATTTAATTTTTTGTTTAGAAAAAAGGTAAAATATTACTATTCATGGGTACCAAAAGAAGGTTCTTAAACAAAGCTTTCTCTATATACAAAATGTTATCCCTTGGAATAATAGTGTAAGAATGCCACATATTTTCGATTCCACGCAATTTATCTAAAACATCGCAATATGGAAATCAAATGAAAGCTGTTGTTGAGAACTATGGTCAGAAAATATTTTTTTTCAGGATTCCCACGCTTCTATGTAATACACATTTTTATTTTGTTAATTTCAATCAGCATTTTTTTATACATACACAGTACATATACGCTCTAGGTATGTACCAATCATTCCAGCTTATTTCGGAATAGGGTTGCCACCTAAATTTTAGAGTAAGAAATTTACTTAATAGATATTGAAATAAAAAAATATCCAGATCTTGAAAAATTTAAAAAGTACGGGGGCAAAGCTCGGTCAACCTGGTACTATAACTTAAAGTGCGGTAAGACGAATCAGTGCAAACGCTGATATGAAGTATTTAAGCATTAGGTATTTTGTGATTGTTTTGTGCGCATTTTAGCTAATTATTCAATATAGTAATTTTATTATAAGCATAAAATGTCTGGCCACTTACTTCGAACAATGAAGCAGTGTTGCCTACTCAGTATTTCGTCAACTTTATACTACTATTCAGCAAAATCCCTCTCAAAATGAGAAAAGAGATCACACGGTTTTTCTAAGGCAGTCAACATGGCGGATTTAGAGCGAGAAGCTGTCTATGTACATCACCTTTTTTGCATCATGGTGTAAGAACACTTTTAATAAGGTAGAAGTGACAACTAGTTCAAACTCTTTTGTAGCTAGTTATAATGTCAAAAAACTGTAAACAAACAAATAACCCTTTGCGGTGCGAGTGCTATGTTTGCTACAAATCAGCATCAATTGAAAAGCATCAGGATGAAATTATACCAGGTGTAGTAATAAGAGCGAGATGAAGATTTGACACTATCTTATTTGAAAATTTGCCTTTAAAAATGTGTATAAGAAAGCCGAATGCCAGGAAAATAAAGCGAGAAAGCGTTTTATTACTTCACCTGTTGACATTTTCTCCATGGAAATGCATCAGCATAAATACATACATATGTATGTATGTACGTATACTAATTTTAAGAATTACTTCAATAGTACTTCAAAGAATTATAGCTGCATTCGCATCTTATATGCACATATACATATGGACAGAAAATAATACCTTATAAAGGAAACCACGTATTTAAATGAAAGAAATGCTTTATGGAACTGTTTTAACCATTTTTTTGTTTTTTTTTTTTGTAGAAGTGACAACTAGCTCGAACTCTTTTGTAGCTAGTTATAATAGGTTTGTTCGTAGAAAATCCAGCAAGAATTATCCAACACTCAAAATATCAGAGAGTAAGAAAAAATTCTCTCATGTTGAGAAACTTGCAAATTTCTGCACGAACGCAAATTTGCAGGAATTTGCAAGTTTCCCTGCCACCTGGCGTCCACGGTTGCATTTCAAACATAAGAAATGTTTATAGAATTTTTAAAATTCTTTCGGATGGGCAAAAACAGGATATATGTACATGTATGTTTCTTGTTGTTCTGACTTTCTTTAACACACATTTCAATTTCCTCATCGTACTAGCTGTCGGGTTTCTTAAATCGACTCCGGTTGCAATTGCATTCCGATTGCGAATACAATTTCTATTCAGGCGAGTTAAGTTCAAATCATTGGAATTAACTAAATTAATTATATCAACAATTATTTACCTCCTTTATTCATAAAAAAATCGCTCGTGTTTATAAATTTTAAAATTTAACGAACTAATTTATTTAAATTATTGTAGACAAAAATGCAACTATGCGCCACAACCACATGTTTTTCGTGTTTGCAAATTATGGGGCACCGAAATTGCGCATATGGAAACTGTGCATTTAGACATTATTTCGGTTTTAAACCGAAACTGTGCATGTATGCATTACTTCGTTTTTTTTCATATGCATTATTTCGCTTTTAAAACGAAAGTATGCATATGCATAATTTCGGTATTTTCTCATATGCATTATTTCGGTTTTCAACCGAAACTGTGCATGTATGCATTATTTCGGGTTTTTCATATGCATTATTTCGCTTTTCATCCGAAACTGTGCATGTATGCTTTATTTCGGTTTTAGCCATATGCATTATTTCGGTTTTGAACTGAAATTGTGCATGCATGCATTATTTCGGTTTTTGTTATATGCATTATTTCGGTTTTCCAACGAAAGTGTGCATATGGATAATTTCGTTTTTTCTAATATGAATTATTTACTTCTACTTAGTAAGGGTTTTAATCCCTAAGCGCGGCTGAAAGCCGCCTACGCAGAGAAAAGTTCTGCGCAAAAATACGTCCGCCCTTCTTTTCCGGCAACACAGAAAGGAGAATTCTACTTAGTAAGGGTTATAATCCCTAAGCGCGGCCGAAGGCCGCCTACGCAGAAAGAAGTTCTGCGC